TACAAATCTTTAAAAAATGAAATGGAGACTTAAGCCAACCTTGCAATTATAATTCTACAAATGCGACACCTAAAGATAAAATATTTAACGTTTTTAAAGGACTACGCGGCTTCAAACTGCTTTGTGTACTTCACTGTGCCGTAATTAAAAGATGCAACCTTGAAACTTAGAGTCTCTCTAATTTTAATGTAACATAATTTATATTGCAGATCACATTTGCAAATGAGTGTCAATTTCGTGAATGTCACCCAATCTTGGACCCACGATTTGAGTACTCCGTTGCCAGGTAATGAAACGAAAGTGTTTGCCAAATTTATCCTGAAATCTCTTTATTTGCTGTCGATTAAGTTGTGTCCCTCAAAACTAAGATTCGTAAAATCAGGTCTCATAGTTGGATGGCTGTGGTTTATGCGAAGACTTCAGGCTCTGGTGGACATCACTGACGACATTGTGGAAATTGTAGGTCGACGAACTTATTTTATTTCATAACATTCGAAATACGGCCCAGGATTTTTTCCCACCTTCAGCAATGCTGTTTATTTGCGTCCCCGCGTAACTACCAAAGGCATTCGATATTAGATTCTGCGTCATTTTGTCGTATCACTGAAATGACAGGGTTTGACAAGAGATCTCTAGTGGTGGCTATTCTTGGCTCACGTTTTACCATATTTTGAAAGCATTGAGATTTCGAGACCACACTTGATGTTTACTGATGAGCGATGCATTTCGTCTTCATAGTGCGTCATGCCTTGTCTTGATCGAGGAACCACAATGAGGTCAGTGTGTTCAGGTGAATCCCTTCTTTTTCCAGAGACAAAGACGGACCAGTGGTGTTTGTTGGTGACGATGAATTTCAGTCGATTGAAGTGAGGGTGACTGTCACCAATCGAGGGGGAGACCCCAGCTATGCCACCAGTGTGCGCGTCTCCTATCCCGAGGAATTGCTCGATCTCAACACAAGCTCTCGTGACTGGGTAAGCCGTTCATCTGTTACGATATTTAAACATTACTGGCTTCCTCTGTGTTCTACGTCCTCTCGCTCCAGTCCTGATATCCCTTCACTGATGAATAAAACTAAAAAGAGGGATCATTCCCAAAAACTACTCCTTTTGTCATCAAATAAAAGCAGTTGACTTGTGTTTCAGCTTACCTTGCTCGATATTTTTTTGAGAAAAACACAGTATCAGTATCCAGTCCCTCAGCAACATTTATAAAGGTATGTAGATGAAAGGTAACAGGTTTTAATCATCCCACATGTAAAAATTGCCAAATAACAGGGCTTTTCCAACAACTTAATTAAAATACAATTAAGTCCCATGAAAATAACACCAGCAATGGTCATGTTTTCAGTGATTTTTGAGAGCAAGGGACTTGAATTTCGGCTGGAACCATTTTTATTTGAGTCTTCCTTGTAGAATGCTTCACTAAGTAGACTTGGCTTGAGAGAAGTTCACAATGCCAGATGTGTAAAATTACCTTATTTTTATGCCAACGAGCATTCAAGAAGTTTACCAAAATGGGATTCCATGATGAAGAAAAAAGGTTTCGGTTGAGGCTCCCAAAACGCCTAAAGTTACACTAACCTCACCTTTGTAATGCTTGTGGAATGTAGTCGCTCACACTGAATGCATCTTAGAGCTTGCTCGATAACTTTATAAACTGGAATCGGTTTTGTAAGTTTAAAGTTTCCGTTTTTACTGTCATCAGATGATGCATTAATATCCCTTTGGTCCTCATCAGCAAAACCCCGACCCAAGTGCGATTTAATGTCCCCATTATCAATGACTCCGAAAAAAAATGGTAACCCCGTAGTGTATGAGAGATACGACATCACTTCCCAGCCAAGCACCGGCGTTTTTCCACGAGGCCTTCTAGACTGCCGGTTTCGACCTCTTTCCCTTAATAGCTTTCTGGTCCAGTTTCATTAGTTGTTGTCAATAAACATCCAAGGTAATTGTTTAGGACCTTTCAACAGCTCAAAATACACATGTTTGATAATGCTCTTCTTTTGACAGGCTCAGCCTCCGATGTGGTACTTGCTCAATTGCTTTTAATCGGTGATTTTTAGCCGATAATTCTTATCACCAGTGGCCCTTTGTTTACAGAAAAGGGTGATTCTATTGCGTTTGAGGCGCAGATGGCAACAATGATTTGTTTTACAAAGCGGGTTTCTTTTATTCATGGGAAATTCAGATGTCGAGCTTGTTGAAAAACCACGAAACATTGAAGGACTTGCAATTTCTGTGTGTGTGGGTCAACGTCAAACCTCTCTGCAGTTTCTTTTAGTTGCTCAACTACACTCCGACTAACTTCTGCCTTTGATTTGGTCATTATCAGGTTTTAGCAAGTCAACTCGAACGCTTTTCAGCTCCACAATTTTGCGCGTTAAATCTGCGTGTGCGTCTTTAGGCATCACTGGTATAACCTTTAAACAACCCTTTGGGCGAGCCACAGCGACATTCTTACCTTTATGATAATGAAATATTAAATTTAGTTTGAAATGCACGATTTGCTGTAAATACCAACAATTGGCCTTAAACAAACAAGTAAAAACAAAATTACCCATCTTTCAAACTAAATTAGAATTCACAACATTGGCAGAAGGCCTCAGAAGCAAGTGTAGGGCCATTTGTGTGTGGAAACCGACTTTGCGTTTGCCAATCCATCGCTACAAAAACCATGTGAAATCAAGGTGTAAGTAGGTAGTAAATCACCATCGTAACCAAAGTTTGAGCGAAAATCTCTAGATGGATTAATTCCATGAGCTGTCTTATAAACGAAAAAAGCAGGCAAAATCCTTGTACTTGAGTCTAGTAGCCGTGTCATGGTTCCCTACCATCTGAGCTTTCTGGCCTTCAGGGGTCCAACTGAAAACAAATTTGAGGCTGGCAACAAGTCGCTCCCGATGCTCTTCCCAAAGCTCTCCGGTGAAAAGTTTGATTTGAAAACTGCATCGTCATTTGATTTATCTCTCACAGGCACTTTTTGATTCGGTGTTGAACACGTTGTTATTAAAACATTCGCCAAGTTAATCCTGTATCCGATTTTGTCATAAGACACATTTACGAAAGGCTAGAATGTGCCGCCAATAGAACTTGTGTGGATACGGCTTTATGACTCTCCTGCTACCTCTTCATTTGATTATTTCAATCGATCGCGATGAGTTATTGCGTCGGTCGTAACTTGGCGAGAAAAATTTGCAATTTTCTAACAAACCGCATCTTAAAAGAAGAAAAGGAGTTGTGCTGATGAAATATGCTGGTCACCCCCAGTTTCGACCATTTGTTGCTCAAGTCAAATTCTCGCCAATTTTTTGCCGTTTAAATGACTAGAACTCTCACGGCCACGCAGTAGCAGGAATTTCCTAATTTTTTTGCTTTGTCAACCCATGCATAGGTGTCATTCGAGTTCCAACATCAAAGCTGCGCCGCCATTACTCATCACGACCAGGGCAATAATGATATTTTTATTTAAACTAATGTACGGAACGGAGTGGGACTGGTATGTCTTGTGTCACCGAACTTAGTTGTAGGAGAATTGTCAACAAATTTGATTCTGCTAAATTAAAAACGTTATTTGGCGCCATTATTTCTAGGGTCCTCGACCAGTCCTCGTGAGACCGGGGACGGCGTTGTGCCACTTCGGGAATCCACTGCTCGCGTGGAAGAAGACTACGTGTGCCTTGCGATTCAACGTTTTGGGGCAGCAACTAACAAAGGCCCCAAAGTACTTTACCATTAATAGCACAATCACCTCGTAAGTCGTCTTACCTGCGTCAATAAACTTCGTTAGAAGAAAATCACTACAACTCACAAAAATATCAGCCCGTTGCCAATGGATGAGCTAATAATTAACGGCATGACATGTTGTTCCCATTTTTTTTTGCCATTTATTGTTTGCCTTGTTTTCTTAACCTACTGCTGTGAACAGTCAGCGGGACACTAACTTTAATCTAGCTTAGTGGAAGACGAGAATTTCACTATCCGCCCTCTAACTGGCTGATACTGCCTTTTAAAGGAATTCGACTCAGCTCTGCACCACTTCGAAGTAATATTCCTGTTACGTTTAGCCGTAACAAATCGAAAACCACTCAAATAACGGTACCAGATCCCTTTTTGACGCTAGCACCAATCTACCCATGCTAATACAAGAACGAGGCCAGAGCTCGTGTAGGGAGCCTTAGTCACGTCGGCCACGTACGGAGTCAGTTGTCAAAAGTGAAACTAATTCAAGTCAAGGTTGACCTTGACCTGATAAAAAGCTTAATTAAAACACATGTTAGTGAATTAGTGTAAATAGTGCCAGAAACCGACGACGAGCAATCTTGGGGTATCGTGGATCTCCAACAATTCCTTAGCAAGATATTTGCATAATCCACGCCGTGAAGAGCATTCGATTTCTGCTGGGCTGACTTTCAAATGACACGTTTTGTGTCCAAAAGGGCCAGTTGGTTGAAACGCAGCCCATGCCAAGTCTACCAGTCCTACACCGTCGGCCAGGCGACACCGGGGTGCAAACCCATGCGTTTTACCAGTCGACCGCAACGCAAGCAGTCAGCAAGTAGGCGTGTTATCGAAAAGGGAACTTTGAAAATCGGAGCAGCTAAAATTACCAATGAAGTACTAAAGGGTTCAACACACCACAATCATGAATGGTCACTTGTGTCAACTAACAAAAGATTGATTTCGATAAATAAATTAGGGATCTGTAGTGGTTGAAGCGCACCACCATCTCAGGTGCTGGTAGCATCTCAATAGAAATGTAGGTCCATCAGTTTTACCTGACTACCGCGACCCTTACAGGCAATATATTTAATATCTACTTCATGCAGTTATTACTGTTCACGTAAAGTGCTGCATCTTGAGTGCCGTCTTTTTCTTAAAAAAACCATGACACAAGGCCTACTTGAAAGGTTAAATACATTGAATGAATCTAATCATTATTGCAATCTGACGCAAATTTGTCACTGATAATTAGCCGACTGCATAAAAAGTCATTTTTTTAACGAGTTAAAAGCGCCAACATTGAAGAACTTTGCGTCTTAAAGAGCTTCGGTCAGAGAGACTTGTGAATTGCTTTCACTTGCTGGCCTCAATGAACTTGTTCCTAACTGAATATACATGGCACTGACCGGTGAACGGAGCAGAAAGTCTTATGAAATAACGGTCGTTGAATTCAGAGCGTATTTTAAATAATGCGAGTTAGACAATATTCAGGCCCAGTTAATGGTGCGAATAAACGACACACGGATGTAACCTTTTCTTCATTATCCTTAAAGTCGTTCTCTGTTTCACATGCCTTAGGTGTAAATTAGCCTGTTGAATCTTTTAAAATAATTCACAGGATGACGAGTGAGCACAGATGTTGAGTAAATTTGGCAAAAATTAGATTGCAAAGATGTGGTGCTTTCAAGATTGGCTTTCTACATTCGAGCTGTTTCTCAGCCACCGTCCACAAAACGTACCGTTGAATAGTCGTTCGTACCGTTCACCTGTGCTCATTACAACGACTATCAGCCCCTACGACGACCTTCGATTAATGAAAGCAAAAAAATCCCCACTGCTCCAAGGTCGCACACTTGACATTCCTAGACCACTATACAAAGCTTTAACCAGAGTGCGCACAATTCCTATTTTTAGAAGTCCAACGTTTCCTCCAAAAATCCTGGCACCCATGGCTGACGTCTTAACCGTGAAGGTCAAAATGAGTGTCAACGTTACGATTTCAGGGTACGTCTTGGATTGTTGTTACTCATGTCAATCAAGGCATTTGTCACCACTTCGTCTCCAGCCTTTCTAAATACTTTGGATAATTTGATAGGGAGGAGAAATACCAGTTAAAACAGCACCTGGCAAACGCTTCGCCTTCAAGTGCTATTTCCAATCTCGGTCGCCTGATTCCGAACGATGTCGCCTTTGTGTGCCTTGCACCACGTGTTGAGTTCCAGTCTCAAGGGGGATAATCCCTTGTTTCGATGCTTGTTAACTCAGGTTATAAAAAGCTGACAACTTCTACATCTCGCGTGGCCCGCACCAAAGTTTCACAAAGTCTAAACCAACGTTTTGTCCAAATGGTTAGGTACACATTCGTGGAGGACAGGAAAGTTTTCTGCCATTCAGCATAAAATCATTTCTACTAGGCGAAAGATAGTAGACTTCCTTTAAAATCTTAGCTGCTAACTCCGGCGTATAAAACAATGTTTATGTAAAACCATTGTTTTGGGATTTCTTACACGATTATGACCTAGCCAAGTACTCATTTGCAAATAAGTATCTCACTGGCTCATGTTGAACGCTTTTAGAGAAATACTGCCTGATGCTGCCTACTACAGTGGAAACGTGACTGATGGCATCCTTGTTAACAACGGTGAAAATAAAATAGGCGCTACGCGTCTTCTCGTTCGAGTCAGAGTAAGGGCTCTACCATTATTTTCTAGGCACTTCTCTTTGGAAAATCGCAGTAAGAGAGTTTGACTTTGTTAGGTGCAAAACCTGCGGAAGCACAGTTTAGTCCCCAATTCTCGGTTGGTAATTGACTGGCCCTATGAAACTGCGGATGTAGTCAACGAAGAAAATGGAAAATTTCTGTTTTACCTCCTTGAAAAGCCCTATGTGACAAAGACTGAGTTTCCAACGTCTGCTAATACAACCATTGTGTGCGACTCAAGGGCTCTTGACAAGCTCGTGAACCCCTACGGCTATCGGGTACAGTCTGACATTTTTACTTACACATTTAAGTAGGTAAAATATTAATCCAGTTATTTATTTGATTGTTCTTAGGTTTTCAAGTCCTTGAGGCCCCAGCCACGTGGAGATCCAGTAGCCACGGCACATGTTGACCTACCGCCTAACCACCCAACGAAATATCCCCAACTGAAGTCGAAACTTGAAATCGATGAAATGCCGGACCAGGGTAACGTGAAGCGCTTCACCACCAGACTGGTAGGCCAAGTTGGTTATCCCCAGTGCTGCGTGAGGCGGAAGTCTGTCGTGACATTTGACATTCGACTTTTTCAGAGCTGCTACAACGGTCAACTGAGGTGTGTGCCGATTGTCTGCGATCTGGGTCCTTTGTCCTATAGAGCAGGAGCAGTGAGCTTTGAGATGCCTGCACGCCTATGGGACAACACAATGCGACAGGTGGGTGAAGTGATTGTAGGACTTTGATTGATTACATGCGATAAATTTGCACTCTTTCACTGTTAACTAAAGGATTTCAAGGACGTCTTCATGACGGCGGTCCAAATTACGGTGACGTGGAGGGCTAGCGTCACCTACACAATTGACATGGGCGATACAGACCACGCCTCGAATTCCGTGAGTTGATTCACTCTTCTGTGTTGTGCATCTTTTCTTACTAAGCTTACTATCTTCTTCACTCTTTCATGACCGAGCTGGGGGGTGTTTTCGTCCATTAATATTATGATGTGTGTGCAACTGCGGGCAATGTGTTCCGGTGCTCGGGAGAGTAACTAAGGGACCACGACAAATTTGTGCCTGATTAAATGCAGAAGTTGTCTTCTTGTGCTATGTTTTAAATATTATCTATTGTTTAAAGTGTTTTTTGTCATTTCAAATGAATTTTTTATCAATTTATGCAACTTTCAATGGAGATCTTTGCCAAGATAAATGCTTCCCTTATAAAAAAATATGGACTAAAATATAAGATAACATAAGTTAGCCTCCCGATTAAGGTTTTAATTCCCTTAGAAAGATTTACAGTTCAAAAATGTTCACACAAATGAAATGTTGTGTGCATCAAGTTGTTCCAGCATTTTGCAACAAGCTAGCAAAATCTACTACAACGTGGGAAGTCACCTAACAAGTGAGATAGTTTTGCTGTCCCTAATATGAGCAGTATCAGGTCAACCAAGACCCCGAATTAAAGCAACACAAGTCTTACAACACAACTAATGGCTGAACGGCAAATTAATAAGCTATGGTATACCCTTCATCCGCAATTAACGATTCAACCAATCTAAACAAAAAAAGGCTCAGGAAAGCTCTGGGAATTATGCTAGCTGTCACAGATGTTTCAGCTGAATGTATCAATTCTAGCATTAATTCTTGTTATTCATCACCAAACTTGCGTGCTTACGCCAGAAGCTGATTATTTTGTTTGTGCCACACCTAAGGCTTTCTTTTCCCGTGTTATTTGCCATATTCTATTCAATGACGGCAACCATGGCATCGCTTTGCGTGCCCACCACATGTCGGTCGGCGTGCAGGTCTCTAATAAAACGGTGCGTTTGCATACTTAAAAAACCTACCGGGTATTGCAAGGCCTGCCCAGGTATGCCGCTCGCAGCCATTGTGCATTCTGAATGGGAGTTGGCTGTCTCGCATGCCATTCTACTTTTCACACTATGCTTGGCTGTAAGTAATGCCGAAAACGTGATCCTGACTGACAACGTTCACCTATTTAGTTTGAGCTAAAGATATTCAATGACATGGAGCCGGAACCCGTCTACCCCAAGAACATGCCGCTGTACATTGGTTTAGCCGTATTCGCTGGCCTCCTGCTTCTCTCGATACTCGTCATCGTCCTCTGGAAGGTGCGTTTGCATGCTTTCTGGTCAATGCTACCACGCTTGTATTGTCTGAGTCCACAGTCCCAAGACATCGTGGTGTTGTAAGGATTCTTATGCCAGTGGACAAACTAATTATTATTTTCTTAAAATCTAACGATACTCAAATAATAACAGCGCAACTATACAGGCGTCAATGGCTAATGGTTATACGACTATAGTCTACTGCCTTCAAGGCGAGACTGTAAAATGCCACAATCACCACATCCTTTTGTTCAAAATCCACTAATTTCAAACCAAGCTTGTAACATGGTGAGAAATATCAAATATCATCATAATTGAGGGGTCAACTTCATATTTGGACACATTAACGGAACAATAAAGAAGTGTAAGACGTTTCTTCCTGCGAGATTAGTGCTGTTATTTAACGGTGTAATACAAAACTGACTCCTCAAATCTGCTGTTAGACGTTCATTCTCACTCCTCGGCAAGTAACAACAACTGTTGCCACGCTAATCCTAGAAAATGCATTCAAATTTTCTGTGTCGGACACATGCATATAAGTTATAATGCATCGCTTGATGAAAGTGCATCATTATTATGAGCCTTCATATAGTAATGACATCTGGTCATCACGAAATAACCAAGCTCTGTTACTTACAGGCGAAGTTCTTTGAGAGGAAAAAGTTTAAACGACGTTTCCAACGAACAAAACCAGCGTCTGAGGGTCCTAAACAGCCATCGCCAGAGAGTCAGCATCTCAATTCACCGGGTCCATCACTTCAACGACCAGTAAATATACATTTCGCAGGAGAACGGCACGTCTCACTCCACTCACCACCAATCTCTGCCTACGATACCATGAACAGCTAGACTGCGATTCCCTGCACACGCGCAAACCCATGATAAATTGCTCACGAACCACCTCATTTCTTCTTTTCTCTGAGTTGTTCTACCTAGTTCTTATCTACGAAACTATGACGGACAACTACTGTGATTTTATGAAAGGATTTTGCTGTGGTGTATTTTACTGAAAATGATTGTGTGTTATGAAAAATAAAAGCACTGGATGACAACACGGTTGTCATGATTTGACTGCTGACAATCGGAATACAATCAGGCTCCACCATATCGCATATCAATCCAGTTTGAATAAGTCAGAGAATTTAAGGTTTTTAGGCAGAGTAAGAACTCGCGATTCAGTAGCCAAGTAAGTACTCCCGAGAGGATTGTAAGCGTTGGACGGATACTCAGCTAAACACTGATTGGCATTTTAGATGTCTTGGATTAAGTACCACTCCTTACTGCAAAAAAATACACCTCGCAGCACCCTCACACTTTTTTCCACAAATAACATTTTGCCTCACAACCACATATTAACAAATCGACCAAGTGGAGCCAACTATTAAAATACAGCCCGAAACAAGCAATATATCAGCATGTAACCAATCAGTGACACTCGCGGAGTTGTTCCTCCAATTGTCATATTTGCAGAACTCAGAGTTCCAAGCTGTTCAACTCTGAGAGAACCTCCACCACATCAGATGTTGCACGAGAAGCCCCTCTAGCCGACATTTATTTGTGGTGCTTATTATACTTTTCCGGGTCTGCGCACAAACTGCATGAAGCATTAACATGGGAACGCACTCGCAAAGTCATGTGGCTTCTCGGTTTCTCTATGCTAACGACTTCAACTGATTTCACGGTCGACCATGAAGTTTAAACCACCAGTTTCTTGATAATTTAATGATTAACATCAAAGCCACAAACCTCACCCATCACCTGCTATATAAATTCAAAGTTCAATGCAGAATCACTTCGATGTACATAAACAGCGTAGACCTTTCAAAAGAGGACCACGCATGAGTAACTTGAGTAACTTGCTGGTGTATATGAGCTTTTGTCCATTTGGTAATGAACACAAATATCTTAAAAGATATGATATCACGTAAAAGGATATTCTCTACTAGAGAGAAAATTTGCTGGAGGCGTGTTAGTGGGAACTTGTCAGAAAGGATTTACCACAAGCCAGAATCCGTTACTTACCCCACCTTTTACTCGGCTTTGTTCCCGAGACCTCTAAAACATATTCCACACACACACACGCAAACACACACACCTACACATTGACATTAAGTGCACTTCGGGTGAATGAGTAGCTTGCGCGCTGCAAGAATGTACCAGCATGGGGTTCTGTAGACGACAGGAGGATTGGAAATGATCAGATCTTATGTTAATGCATAACCTCGAGACATCAAAATTGGACGAATATTTGAGTTTAACATGTACCTAAAGAAGACGAAAGCCTGAATTGGTTAATTATGAGAGGTTAGTTCGTGGAATTTAGGGAGCGTCCGTTGACCTAAATGGGTATTACGCTTTTAGGCACAACGGCAGCCTGACCACAGTGATAAGTGAGGTAAGCACTGAGGTGCCTGCAAGAACTTCTCACCTTGTGGCCCGTTGAGTGTGGCAGGTGTGAATTCAACCTACATCGGGACTATTAGGATCAAGTCAAATGCGCCTCCCGCAAGTAATGTTTACTTTTGTTAATCAGTAACTCATTGAACGATCTACTGACAAAGCGGTTCGTGCGAAACCATTAAGAACAAGGGACATAAGTAAGCTCAGGGTAACAAGCAAGGCAGGGTAAATGCATTAAGCCTTGTTTAGACTATATTTGATAGATAACATTTGTGGCTTCCTAATTTACTAACATACTATATATATATGTTGAGGGCCCCGGCATGTTGTCTTGAACCAGGCCGGGGCCACTGCGATTATCTAGGCCGAATACGCTACCCTGCGTTCCCGCGAAAATATAGAAGCCCGGAGTGGGGAAAGGCACAACCGTTTACTAGACCGCTCAACCAAGTTGTGTCGTGTACTTTTACAGTTGAGTGGACATGTAAAAGTGAACACAGGCGTTTGTGAGGTCACATGGCCAAAGCGGGAGGTGGTGGTACATTCAGAGGGGTAATGAGCCAGCGATCTCACGTGAAAAGGGGGGACGTGTGCAGGAAGCTGCGAGGACAGGGTTATTGGACGTGAATCAACACGATTCACTACATATATATATATATATATATATAT